CCCCCTCCCCCCCCTTCCCCCCCTAAACCTACCCGTACCACTCCTCGGTCCTAGTCCCTACCCTACCCCCTAACCCTCCTCCGCACTCACGACCTGACCAAACCACCTCTCACGCTCAACCCAGTCCTTCAATCTGCTTGACTCGGAAACCTCACCCCCCCCCCCCCCCTCCCCCCGCAGAGATGACTTCAGACGTACAGAAATGTGGGCTCAGAAACTGTGAACCTTGGCTGCTGCCCTCTCTCAAGCAGTGATCTTCTATTCTCCTTCCCCTCCAGGGCTAGCTCAGACAGAACCTACAATGGAAAAACCCTTCTTTCAAAGGAGTTTTTCTTTCGCTCTCCCGGTGGACCACTGAGCTTGGAGCTACTCGTCCCCAAAGGATCTAGCTTCGGGTCACTCACATCCCTTTACAAGCCTGGCATCAATCGACTTTCAAGATTATTGATGCTTGTGGGAACTTCATTTCTACCCACTGGAAATCCCTGGAATTCTTGCTCCTCGGATCCATCCAGATACTCATTGATGCTGTGGACCCCAACCTTATTCCCTCTTTCCTTTGGCTCATTATTGAAGGCCTCTTCTTTCGCATATCCCTAACCTGGTACCCAGCCTCATCCTCTGCAATTCGCCATTTCCAGGACCACCATCCTGGACCACACAAGAGCCCCAAACCCGACCATAGTAAGTTGGCTGATCCAGAAGGGTGGACTACGGTACCCCATAGGTGCAAGAAAAGAGTCCCTCACAACCGTAGATCATCAGAATGCCCACATCGTGCCACCTAAGCTGCCCGTGGATGTGGCTCACCACCATTCCCTGCTCCTGCTGCCATGTACGCGGAAGCCTTGGTCAACACGCCTTCTCTGCCTCCTGCCCACGATGCTCTGCTGCCAGCCTGTTCGATCGTCCCTTCCTCAAGCCCCTCTACCCAGGTGTCCACCATCCTCTCCCCTCATCCTGGTGGCCCAATCAAAGTCGCCGTCTCACGTGCCTTCCTTTCACACCCTGGCACTAGCCTGTCGTCATCCTCTCTGTTCATCCCTCCCCATTCCATCTCCTCATCCTACGGTGCTCCTCTCTCCTCCCACCCTTCCAATCCTGGTCCCTCCACGTGCCCATCAACTCTACCACTTGCGGGTCCTCGGAGCCCATTTGCCTCGGCCGCCAACCCTCCCTCTCTAATCTCGATCATCCATCCTAAACCCCAGGACTTCGCTCCTTGTTCCATTGGTCCCTCCTCTCTCTCCTCCCCTATCCTTCCCCTCTCTTCCTCCAACTGTAAACCCCAGCCAGAGACAATGCTACCCCTCCAACACACACTCTCCCCTGCTCCATCTCCTTCCCCTCAGTTGCCACTTCCACCCCCCCTTCTTGCCTCCCCATCCACCAACGGCTACATCAGCAAGCAGACTGCCTTGGCCTCGCCCTCGCTCCCCCCCCCCCCCCCCCCTCTCGTCTGCTATCACACTGCTGGAAATCGCCTCCCTTCGAATGTTGCTCGCCTCTGACACCTCTTGTGGCAGTGGGCTTATGGCTCGACAAATCTCCTCCGTATGTCGAGGCTCCCCAGGTTACACCTACTTTGCTTGACAACCAGCCCAAGGTGATACCCCTTCCACCT